ACACAGAGCTCTCCTTTCGTTCCTCCCGAAGGTATCCGGTCGGAACCAGCCAATGATGACGGAGGATAGTCGTCTCGGGCTCGGAATACCATTAGATAAGATCAATATTGCTCAAAATACGTTGGAAGTTTAACGCGAGCACATTACACGGCATTTATATCATGAATATTCCGCCCGAGGCCTCTTCTTCCCTCTTTTCGGTCTCGCGCCATCTCCCCACCCCCGTCTTCCGTACGGTTCGCGTGGACCCCTTGTTATCTCGCGTTTCGACTTTGTACAAGCGGCGCCGCGGTCGCCAAAACAGAAACTCCTTTATCTCTTACTAAGCGGGGTTCCGGGCTTTCGGTTTTAATCGATTTTCGCGCGGCTCCAACCCCTTGTCGTTTCCCCCGGCGTTTTTTCCTAACGAAGTAAAGTGTTCAGGCGGAAGATGATTTTTCTTGATAACCCTCGTAACGAATTTCACTTTGGTAACGGAATAATATGCTTAGAATCGTATTCCCAACGTGAGTAGATAGAATATAAGACAACCGATCTTGAATCGACACGGTAATCGATTGTATCTCCCCAGTCGATCAAAGGTTAAAGGATCAACCTCCATTCACCAGCTTGATCCATCAAACGCTGTATTCCCTGATTTCTAATCAACAACGGACCGATTTCACATATTAATTTATCTATCATTCACAATGTAAGATTACACTTTAACCCTTTGCACTCGAGAGGTGACTCTCAGTCACCACTTGACGCAGTAAAACTATAGAATGTGATATTTAATGTTAAACTTTGTATAATGCCTCGATACGTGAAATACTGGAATAAAACAGCTTTGTTCCTCAATGTGATTTCTCTTGGAATTAGTCTCAAAGAACATCGTCTTCGTAAAGGAATGTTAAATATTTCTAGTAAGAAACATCCGAGTGCAAAGGGTTAATTGAGATTTCCATGCGACACGAATTTCTGCTGTACCACAGACGAAATCGTGTCCACTGTCCCCGACGACAGCTCGCAACCGACTTTGACCGAGCTCTCGATCTCCATTTTCGTATTGCAGGCAACTTCGCTGTTTGCAGCCTTGAAGCAGCAGCAACAGCAATCACGGGACAGTGTGTCCCAGTCGAGGGAGCGCGAGAATCGAGAACGGGACCGGCTTGCGGCGCGTAGCCGCGAGAACAGCAGGGGAAACGAGATAGGCGGCAACGTGACCGATCAACAGCAACAACAGCAGCAACAGCAGCAGCAGCAAGAGCTAACGATCGAGTACCAAAGCAATGGGAAGCTCAGTCCCTCTGGGCACGCACTGACAGCAGCACCGATGACCCAGCAAAAGCAGCCTATCATCACGCAACAATCGCAACAGCCGAGTTCAGGGGCGCCTGGTCCCCAGCCGAGTCCCCATCAGAGTCCGCAGGCCCCGCAGAGGGGTTCGCCGCCAAATCCGTCGCAGGGTCCTCCTCCCGGAGGACCGCCAGGGGCACCACCCTCTCAGAATCCCTCTCAGATGATGCTCAGCCCGGCGAGCGGCATCCATCAGATGCAGCAGCTCCTACAGCAACACATACTCAGTCCCACGCAACTGCAGTCCTTCATGCAGCAGCACACGCTTTACCTGCAGCAGCAACAGCAACAACACCATCAGGTAAATATGGAATGTTTATACTTGTACTGTGTATGTTTCTTAACTAGTTAACTGTGTTTCACGAGTATACACGTCGTAAAGCTTGACACGGTACTAATTCTTTCAGCGATGAATTCTTGATTTTTTCACGTAAACGTATAATTCTTTGTTTCGCTTTGATCTTTCATTAACACTAGAACTACCGTACCAGTCAAAATGACTGGTTTCGATTTTTTTGTTTAGCAATTATTGATATCTTCGAAGCATTGAATATTCGAAATAATTGGAAAATAAATAGTTTCATTTCAATACTATAATGAATATCTGAAGAGACTGAAAATAATCTATTGTTACAATTTTTATAGGAATAGCGTATTAATCGTATTAAATGCTTGGTAGTTCTAGTGTTAAAATATACTCTACGTGATTAATTAAATTCCACAGTTAACTGGTTAACTTCTAGGGGCTAAGCAAAATTAGATCGTTGGTAGTTTATTTTCTTTGGTCGTTCTAAGTTATTATGGCCTATCGAAAGATGCAGGTAGAATAAATGTTTGTTGTGTAGGATATTTATTTTATGGTTAGTAGTGAGTGTAATGAGATTGTAGTGATTATAAGGAGATATATTTTTTAGTTGTTTAGAATATGAAACATTATATGATCTGTGAATTGTAAAACGAACTAATGAGAGGTTCAAGTGGGCTAACTTCGTATGCTCGCCTTTGTTGCAGGATTCGTCCTCGGAGCACGCGTCGAACCAGGACCGATTCGGCTACTTTTCGTCCTTAAAAGACGTAAGTGTTCTATTCTTCCGTATCTCATTGTGAAAAGCAACAGGAGGAATCTCGGGTTTCGTCCTTTACGGCGAAGCTTATTGTGCTTCCTTCGGGGCTCTTCGAACTACATTAGCGAAGTTTGTCCTTTTCATCGAGCAAGCATTGCATCATTGCATAGTTAAACAATCTCCCGGACACTTGGCCGGGTAAACAAGGCCGCCTTTCATCGCCCCTCCCTTGACCATTGATAATTTTAATTATAAAAAGCGTCTGTTTGGCGGGCTACGTTGTTCCATCCGTTTACCATCGCTCGCCGGAAGTGGGCAAACACTGGAGCATCTTTTCTTGGAGACACTTTGGTGGCGTTCGTAACACTCCTCTATCTTATCGGGAGCATCATCGAAAAGTTCAAATATTTTACAATTTTCTTGGCGCATCAATGGCAAAGCCTTCGATTTTCTCGATTCCTCGATGTACTTAAATGAATTTTTCAATCTCGATTCGATCGAGACATTTCCATGTTCATCGAATGAAAGATAAAGGATTCGTATTCATAGAATATTGTCTTCTCCGTTCTGTGTTCAGTCTATTGAGAATACCAGAAGTAACTTCTAACTTCAATGTCACAATGGTCGGCGGCAAAAATGCAACTTTGCATAAGAATCTTCCGTTTGCTCGTTAGCATAACAACCTCGCTGTTGTTTCCAAATAATTTATCATACCACGGAGGAATCTTTTCATCGGAATATTCTCGTCGGCCGAGTGTATTCTTACCAGGAACATGTTACTCGTAAACAGCACAAAGGACATCTTAACGCAAATACGTATCGTCGGTTCGCACACAGGCTCGATAGCATCGATAGAGGCGTCAAATATTTATTTAGCGGCGTGGCCTGACCGGGTCTCTCCTTTGCTCTGTAAATTTAAACAGTCCACTCGAGGAAATTATCGCCGGCTCGCGCGAAAGACGATCGCAATTACCGGGAATCTAACGTTCGTTTTTTTCTCTCTCTCTCTCTCTCTCCTAGCCGCGGAACGACGCGTTCCTCGAATTCCCCGGCGGTGGAACGGCGACTTTTCAACTCGCGAATGGGAACAATACAATACGACGGTTTCTCGTCGGCGTTTTCCGGCTCATTAATCGCGGCAAGTTCTTGTTTATAGTGCAATATGATAAAGGGAGGTGTATCTCAGGGGTTTGTTTTAAAATATCCTCGAGGCTCGTAGACGGGAAGAATCCACGGCGTTGGGGTTGCACGGGGACGAAGTAAGCAATTAAGCATCGCCATCAGGCCGTTCTGTCTCGTTGTTTGTCTTCGGGGTACCCATCAACTGCCCTCTGTCTTCCACCCTCCTCCGGAATCATCTGTCTCTCTGATTTATTCGCCAAGATGCAACTTCACCCCTTCGCTTTCACGTTTTTTTCCCTTCGTATCTCGTAGCGTTTCACGACGAAACCGAGGCTCTCATTTGAACAGCTGTTATTGAGAGTTCGACGGTGTTATTTAGCGCGTCGGCGCGATTCTTGTTCGACAGCATCAACACCAGTTCGCGGAGCTGGGCAGGAAGAAGCTGGAACAGGCGATACAGCAACTGCAGGAACAGTTGCAGCTGAACGTGATTCAGCAGACGCATCTGTTGCAAACCGCCGACAAGAAGAAGGCGTCCGCACCCCTACAGCAACTGGCGCTGCAGCAGCAACGCTTGATACAGCAACTGCAGATCACGCAGAGCCAGTACCTTCTCCAGCAGGGTCTGGGTCTTCAGGGACACAATCCTTCTTCAGGTATTTCAGATTTTTAGTAATTATCAAGGATGATTGATCACGTGAATAACAGAACGAATGAAGAAGATAAATGGAATGAAGAAGTAAGTCAATTATGTCATTAGGTAGCTGTGAATGTTTGATATTAACTTTCTGACTTCATTTGTTATTTTCATGTCGTTGAGGAATTTCGATAATTCAGTTTCGCATCGGTTTCAATGGTTTTTGAATATTTCTAATGGAATAATCCTTGATTTCAAGCACCAGTCTCCAACAAACGTGGCCGTTTATACGGCACCGAACCCCTCCCTTTCTTCTCGCGCGATCCACCCCTGCACTTTCTCATTTCCCACTTCACCCAGGGCGAAAGTTTCCACGTGGAAGTGTTTCGGTTGCGTCGGATCTCGTTCCGACGATGTTTTTCTTTCCGACGCGGCCGCGTTCGCGCGCAGACAGAGAGAAAAGGGCGGAATAATAGGGCCGGGCTGGAAAAGCGACGGGGACTCGCGCCTCGAGTACTTCGAATTCAAAAACTCACGCGTGAAGCAAACTTGCCCATCGCTTCCCTGCTCCTCTACCCTTTAACGCGCCGCTCGCCTCTTGATTCCTCTCCTCGTTGCCTCGTTTACCTTTTTCGCCCGCGTCAACCTCCACTTCCGCGGAGAAATAAAATCCTGAATACCTCGAGCAATTTTACAAATTGTCCGCGTTTATCTCTGAACAGCTAAATATTTCACGGGAAATTACGGATGTTACAGATTTCTTCTAACCATAGATTTTACCCTTCGTCAATTATGCATATGTATTACGCGATTATTGATCAAACATTTTAAATCATATTTTTCATAATTTCTTTCCCTTCAAGGAACAATATTTTTCAAGGTAATCGCAATGGAACTGAATTCTTATCTATTATCTAGCACTAAACTTACCTAATTCAAGAAATACGTTTCATTCAGAAATCGACGAACAACGCATTAAATAATACAATAACAATGATAATTTCATTAAATCTATATTAATCAAACGACAATAATCCTCACATAAATAATCCATTATCCTCGTTACGCAAAGCAACGCAGCCTCTTTAAAAGAAACCCAAACAAAAACACTCGGCGAATCTACTGAAAATTCCGAACAGGTCTACAAGCGGGCGAGGGTCTGCCGATATGGAAGTCAGAGACACCGGAAGTCCCGGAATCCCACCAGAATTCCAACGTCTCGAAGCCGGGGAGCGGACTGAACGGTAAAGCGGAATCTCCGCCACTCCTCTCACGTCTCCGCGTGTCTGTTTCTTCTTCCATCCTCTTATCCCAGTGTTCTTTTTATTTCTCTCTCTCTCTCTCTCTCTCTCTCTCTCTCTCTCT